ACTGCAGCAGCCCTCCTCCTCCTCCCCACTCCTACACACCACGGTGGAGAGAGATCTCTCGCCACCTATCTATCTCTTTCCACCGTGGTGGTGGCTGGCCCCAGATTCGGGCCAGATTCCTTGGTACGTGCCAGTGAGCCGATCGAGTGACTTACGCTAGTGGCTGGCCGGGTTTTCCTGAAAAACGAAAAACCCAATGACTCCGGGGCGTACCTTAAGAGCCTCAACTACAACTTGTTACGAAGATACAGCCGAGTTGAGAATTGCGATTTTTACTTTTCAATCAAAGAATGAACATTTCGACGTATTATTCGCAGTGCTTCAGTCAGAATTTCTGTGTTACACTTAGTTAAAAAGTTGTGATTTAATTTGCAAATCCATAGTGGAAAAAATGCAGCCGACCATAATGCAAAATATTCCATTAGGGTTTGAAAGGTGGGTAAATTTCCGGAAAATTACCCGGTAACTTTCGGAAATTTACCGGTAATATTGGACCGAAAATTACCGGTAAATTACCCAAATTGCTTAAAACCTTCTCTTTTTGCACCCAAAACGAACACTTTAAGCCCTTAACGTGTTTGAACAAACAGCTGATATGTTATATTTCCTTTTTATGAGGTCTTCTCGATTTTTAGTTCTTATTTTGTTCTTATTGTGGGTTTTAAGGGCAAGGAAAAAAATAGGCTTTCCGGTTAAGATATGGACGGACGGATTTCCTCTTATAACTCCTGTTCGTGTCGAAGTAGTGGGTATACCCTGGGGTTTTCGGGTATGCTGGAGCATTTTTCTGGTGTCCTTTGAACCTATTGGGTCATCCTGGGGCCCTCGTCAGGGACCTCAAGTGGTCGGCGATTACGTCGTTTCTGAAAATACGTACTCAGGGGGTTCCTAGTGTACGTTTGCACCACTAGGGTCTCGGTGTGTCCGAAAACCCTCGTGTACAGATTTTCAGGGGGACGTAATCGCCGACCACATGAGGTCTCCGATGATGACCCAGGAGGTGCAAACGCACACCGGCAATGGCCTCAGCGTACCCCAAAACCCCTACTTATCAATTTTTTGGGAGGGACGGATGTCATCGCCAACGGCTTGAGGTAGCCCATGACGTCCCCAGGATGAGCCTGGAGGTGCAAACGGACACCTAAGAGGGCTCCAGCATACCCAAAATCTCAGGCGAGGGGGCACCAACTTCGAATATTCACGGTTCACGAGCGAATTAATATCTAATATTCAGTCGATATTCGCGAATATTCAAACGATTCAGTGTATTCAAAATATTTCGAAGTATTCGTGATATTCGAGGTATTCATGATATTCAGAAGTATTCACCAATATTCATCAGTATTCATCAATATTTATCCATATTCAAAGCATATTTATCACTATTCAAAGCATATTCACTACTGTTCAACTGTATTCAATAGTATTCAAGCGTATTAAACGATATTCACTGCTATTCAGAGAATTCGAAAGTTTTGTTAGTGGCATTGTAACACTCCTTAGACCATAGTGAGGCATTAGGGGCATACAATTCTCAACTATTACTCAAAAATATTCACAGGATATTCATGCATATTCATTTATATTAATAGGTATTTAAGGATATTCGTTAATATTCATGAATATTCTAGGCTATTCATTAGTATTGACGCCTATTCACGTGTATTCACGAGTATTCACCAATATTTACCCATATACAACACTATTCAGAGTATTCAAATATATTCAGCAATATTCAGTGTATTCAACAATATTCATCTATTCAATAATATTCACCATTATTCACTGATATTCAATACTTGAATATATTCACAGTGCACAAAATTTTCGAGTTGGTGCCCCCTCGATCTCAGGGTACCAACTTCGAGACAAAGTGGAGTCTTAAGTAGAAATCCGTCCGTCTCCGTTCCTCCGTATCTTAACCGAAAAGCCTCTTACGTATCTTACACTGGAAACGCAAGTGTGAAAATTCACACCTTTGCCCCCCGTAAGTGTACGAATGGATATTCGCTCACCTTCAAGTGAGCGACATTCACACACTTGCGTTTCCAGTGTAGATTAAACATTAGAGAACAACTCACACTGTAAAAAATATTCTGAAATTTAAGACCAAAATGTATCTTAAATTTAATAACATTTTCAGTTGTTCCTAAACGTAAGAACAGATTGTGATATTTAAGAAGTTTTCTTAATTTTGCAAACCAGGTTATGAAAATTCTGATAAGGGTAATTAAATTTTATAACAAGTTTATTAAATTTAAAAGATTTTCTTAGTTTTAAGAAGTGTTCTGAATGCTAGTATTAAAAGTAAGAATAAGTGTGACTTTTCAAAACAATTTTGTTAAAAGTCATGCAGCTTTTGACCACTGGACATAGAATTTTGGTGTTCAATATAGAATTGGATGAACATCATCAAATTAGATAAGCGAAATGTAGCTATGCCAGAACATACGCCGTCCGACCAAGCACATAGCTACTCTGGGAATGCCCCTGGACGGAGCGCCGCATAAGGTCGGGTGCGAGCGTTCACTTCACAGGTATGTCCCGACAGCCGCGCGGTCTAAGGCGTCAGGATCCGAACCCTAAGGTCCGAGGTTCGAATCCACCCAGGTAAGTTAAGGTAAATAACTATAATGTGTACAAAGTCGGGTTTGAACATCTGTCCGTAGGAACAAGAACTTAATATTGTCCAGTTTTGCGTTAGGCTGGAACAGTAAAGCATTTTTGTCGTTTCATAACACGTTCTTAATTTTCAAAACATGTTCTTAATTTTCATAAAACCTTTGTTCTTAAATTTAAGAGCAAATTTGTTTTGTAAATTGCTTCCAAACACGTGTTCTTAAAATTAAGATGGGTTTTTTTTACAGTGAAGACGTTAATTAAAAGTAATTTCGTCGATACTTTACATTTAGTTTACATGCCACAAATATTTGCATCTGTTTGAAGCAATTTTTGTAAAACTTCTGGTAATTTACCGGTAAATTACCAGTTTACCGGTAATTTTGGTAATTTACCGCACCAAACCAAAATTACCGGTAAATTTCAAACCCTATATTCCATAATGGAAAATCAGTATTCCATAGCGGAAAATCACAAATCCACAGTGGAAAATAATCCAGATCAAGTTCCGTAGTGGATTTTCACAAATTCATACCGGAAAATTATTCCATACCAAATTTCATCGTGGAAACGAGATTCCATATGGAAAAACCAGAACCATCTGGAAATTAACAGGAATTCCATATGGAATTTAAAGCTGGGTGGTCCAGCGAGTATCAGACATCACACATACATACACACAAACAGACACACAGCCGGACAGTCGCTTGTGTCGAATGACATGTCGGAAACCGGGCCACCGGGACCGGGCCACCTGAGCTAACTTCGTGTGTCTCAAAACTCGGAGATGTGATTGACCAGCCTACGGTCGGATCTCACCCGGTGCAGGTGAGCGAGAGCGCACCCGGACGCCTCGCCTGAGCCAAGCAGCAACGAGAGGCTGCGTTCGGCGCGCCGCTCGCCGCCATCGTTCGGATACGGCATGCCGGTCGTTTGGACGACAAACGGGACCCGGACCCAGGTTACGCAGGTAAAACCCATGGAACCGGGGACCCACGGGCAGCGAGTAGGAACCGCGATACCGGGTACCCGGGTAAAAGGGTACTCGGGGGGGGGGGGGGGGAATCGTCTTCTTGTTTCACAGCCAGCACGCCTCCGGACCTCCCGGACCAAGCGCTGCATTCAGTGTTGCCGTCTGTGCAGTGTTGTCCAAGGGCGGGGCGTGGCGGATTGTGGCGTTGGCGGTGGGACGGGTGGGGACTTGACTGCACGCGACCGTCGAGTAAATTGGATGAGAATATGTCAAGATATTTGAGTGGTCGGCATGCAGCAGTCTGTTCAGACGCGCTGACAGACACCTTGTCGCCAAGCGCGGGCGTTCCAAGCCAAACCAAAAAAAAAAAAAAAAAAGTACCGTCCAGGAACGGATTGTGAAAGCAGATGATACGAAGTCAAGAATTATATTAGATTTATAATATTTTAATGGGGATTAGGAATTGGGCCGAGCCAAAGCTGAGCCGAGCCAGGGGCCAGGCAGGCGCAGCCGAGCCGAGCTGGCCGAGCTCCGGCCGATATGTGATTCGAGTCGAGCAGCGACGCCGGGCCGGGCCGAGCCGAGCCGGCGCAGCCTGCGGTGCAGCCAAGCCGAGTCCGTCGGAGGGGGGAAGGAGAAGGGAAGGGGGCTGATGCTGCGTACGCTGCGTAGCTTTGGGCTGTGGCGCGCGGGTGGGAGGGACCAACACCAAGCCGCCCTGTATTCTTCTGGTGACGTCATGCCTCGTGCCTGCACGCCGCTCACGCCGCTTCACGTCAGTACAAGCAATGACACATTTGACATTACTTATTTCAGTTGTGTGTTCAAAGTTTTAGTTGAGAAAGTTTCAGTTGAGTAAATTTTAAATGTATCATCTGCTAAAAATCCTTTCTCGCACAGTGATCCTTCTCCCGCTCTGCGCCACCCCATGGGCGCCACGGGCATCGCTGAGTGGCAAACCAGGACGGCGCGGGGTGATGCACACCCGCATTTCGACCCGTACCACTGCACCGTGCCGGCCTGTGAGCTGACGGCCACACCCCGGAGGAAGCGCACACAGCAGGCGTTATGGCTCAGCAATTTCGTTCGTGTCCTGGACAACGTGGCGGCTGCACGATATGCGTGACAGGTGCGGTTTGAGGTCCGTCTGACGGCGGGGGGCGATTTGCTGTGGGTTGCCTACTTTCAGGGGTTTTGACGGACAAATTACCTACTTACCCCGGGGGGCGATTTGGGCTGACCCCGGGGGGGGGGGGGGGGGGGGTGTCGCCCCTTCGCCCCCCCATAAAATCGCGCCTGGTGCTTGAATTGCTAAACCACAAGAGTACTACATCAGAAGAAACGCAACGATTACTGGAGGTGGGCGGCGAGCACGCCGACGGTGCTTACCGTGGTGACGATGGTGATGAGGCCGTGGGATCTCGAGCTGCAGAAGCGACGACGTGGACGTCGAGCAGTGGACGGCCACAGAGGGGGACGGGCCGCAGGCGGGCGGGGATGATGACGACGGTGACGAAGGTGATGGTGGCGGTCTGAGCGAGGATCGGTGGTCCACGGCCGCGGTCGTCATGCACGGGGTCACGGACGGCGACGGGGCCGAGGGCCGTTGCCCTACCTGCAGCAGCGACGGGGACGGCGAGCAGGGTGCTGGGCGGCAGGCCGGGCATGATCAGGAAATGTGTGAACTGCGGAGGAACATTTTCACCCTAGAATCTGTGCTGGCCGAAAAGAGGAGACTGTTGTAGGCGTCCTGATGGACGATGACCTCCTGCAATGTTGTGGTTAATTCATTGAATAGTTGGATGAAGCAGGTTTACTATGTAATTATTACCGATGTGTTGTTGTTTTTTTTGTATAGATACAGAAAAGCTAATGATACAGGCTTAATTTGGTTTCGTCAGTTTAATTATTATCAATGAGTTTTGTTTGTATACATACAGAGCAGCTAATGATAATCGCTAAATTTGTGTTAGTCAGTTCCATACAGCACTATCATACAATGTAAACGTATTCACACTTAGCTGTCAGAAAAGATAGGGATGAGGCTTGACAGAATATCGGTTATTATCGGTATGCACCACCCTTTTGCTAGTAGTGAGATCCTCGCTGTGATGCTTAAATTAGCGTCTGTGTAATGTGGGTCTAAACCTGTACGACACAAAACAACTCTTTTGAACTGTGGAAAGGAATTTGGGCACAACACGCATGTAAATGCCTATTACCTTGAAGCCGTTCATAATCAGTTGGACTTAAAACTTCCCGCTCGCCAGAATATTCCACAGCAAAATTTCCAGATCTGTTTGAAGTGAGAGTACGGGCCCGTGAAATGATTGCTGTCTTGTTAGCGTCAATGCAGTCTTGTAGTGTCAGCCGTGTTTTCTGCACTACCGTTTCATGTTCTAAGCCGGAAATATTTCCCCAAAAGAAACGCTTTCTTGTAACTGGCAGGAAGGCTGAAGAGCAGCGCTTAGATGGCACACCCATATCACTGACATCGAAGTAATGATTGAAACATTAGTGAGCAAAGGTGCTGTAACCACAAAAGAAAATTTTGAAAGTGGCATACCTTGTCAGTTGTTGGAGCGTGCTGGAGTCTAGATGGCAGGTGTTTTCGAAAAGCCAGCGCACTGTGTGATTTTGTTTTTTATATTTATTTTGCAAATATTTAAGAATCCTGATAAATTCAAAATATAGCACCCCGGTGCCACCCCTCAGACCAGCGCGTCTTGGATTGACCTAAGTAGAAAGCATGGTAAGAGGCGCAATATTAGGAAACACCTGTGCTGCACAATATCAACATGAGGTGAGTATGTTACCCTCGAGAGGTCGGCACAGGGGGAAGCTGCCAGGAGCAAATCAATGTTACCAAGACGGTCAAGGACTTCTGGTGTAACCTGTCTCACATCTCCTAGGCGTATCACATTAGGATGGCGAAGGCTCTGGACCCTGGAACATATATTATGTGATTTTGGATAGATGTAATACAGCTGATCATTTACGAAAGCATCGTGTAATTAAAAGTAATTATCTGGTCATTTGGAAAAGCCAGAGCTTAACATACCTCAGCGCATTTGGACATATTTCACTTGAAAAGTAACGCAAGACCGGTATTCCAAGTTTGTTCAGGGCAACAAGGCCAGAAGATATGCCATCATACAGAGACAAAACAATGATGGGACGGCATTTTCTCCCCGGAAGAGAGACTTTGCTCTCAAACCCAGAGAAAGGTTCATACGCAGGGACGCCACCTGTCAGGCGATCTGACTGTCCGAAAAGCCCTTGACTCCCTTGCTCATGAGTCCCTTCTATAGTATTCTCACCAGAGGCAATGTCAGCAACTGCCATGTCTCTGACAGCACATGAGGCACCTTGTACATGTCTGATGACCTTGTTCTTACCATAATGGCGCTTACACTTGGGAGCCTGAGGGAAAAAAGGGGGAGAAAATATTGAATACTGTACACAGTTAGCTTCATTGTAATAAGAACGGACCTTTGTTAGATATCTTCTGACACCACGATGCTTATATCTTGGCATTTTGTCTCAGGTTCTGTTACGTTTCACAGAGTCCACCACGCACGCAGAGGCAACACGGCCGTTATATGTTCCGCAGTTGATTTGACAACTCACACACAGACACCGTGTACAACGCAGGACATTTATCATAAACTTAAAATCACACTCATTCACACTGTTACGTTTTCCAGGGCTCATGGCCTGTTTGAGGACGCGAAACACCGACACCCGTAATGTGCCATCCGCGGCCCTTAGTCGATACAAACTCGCAGGCCCCGCGCGCGAACTTCTAGCCTCATAAATGATGTGATCAACACTACAAACATTTCGAGGTTATTACTGTCTGCTTCGTGGCTCGCTCGGTGCACCGAACCGCCGCATGAGCGCGCTGTAGGAGGCTGGGGCCGGGTCCGTGCGGTCGAGGTTCGACATCACGCCGGCAGGGTGCGGTACGGCATGAAAGCACAGGAGCATGGGGTATCTACAGCCTGTGTGGAGGGAGCGCACGCCCCGTTCTCAGGAGGGGAGGGGGGGGGGGCCACACCACAAGGACTGAGCTGTACCCTATTGACCAATTTTGACCACACTTTTTTCAACCCATGTACGCTACCTGAATACTACGCCGGCCCACGCCACGGGAGCTGAGCTGTACCCAGTAGGACAATTTTGACCACGATCCGTCGTTGTTCAGCGACCGCCTTTTGATCCGCCTTTGTTGGACGGATGCGTCGAAACCTTCCCTTGTACCCTCTCTCAAATTGGCCGTAAAATATGTCCGATCAACGTCTACAGTGAATCTGGTACCACGGGAGGCGCGGAAGGACGAGCAGGCCAAGCACGTACCGCGCCATAATTTTGTAGACTGCGTTCCCCAGGGTCAGAGTCCTGTATTCCTCGACCGTGCGCGGCCGCGGAACCTTAGGCTTGGGCTGCTGCACGGAGGTGATCCAGTCCCTCGGGAAAACTCCCAGGGGCGGACTAGGGGTCTAGAGGCTGACCGTGGAAATCTCCCGGGGGGGGGGGGGGGCCGTGCCGTGCGGGTTGGCTACCTCCCAGGGGTTTAAGTGAAAATTTTGCGTTTTGAGTGTAAAATACAAAATACAGAGGTAAGTTGTTAGGTAAATAAGTAAGTACAGCTATTGTCCCTAAATTCGGACGGTTTTTGAGGACATCTAGTGACGTCTAGAATTTTTGAAATATGAAAAATCGCTGGGGATTCTAGAATCCTCACGTCAAGACGCACGTACCACTCTCCGAAAATATTTTCTCGCGCTAACGGTGAGTGAAAGCTGTTTGAATCGTGTCCGTATTTAGGAACCAATGCGTCCTAAATTCGGACAGCTTTGAAAAATTATGAAAGTGAAAATCTTTTGGGTGGTATAGAAAATTCATCTAAAACTTTGACCTTACCCTGCCGTCTAAATTTTCTTATCTGGTATAGTTTAGTCGCCAGAACTGCTACACTGATAAACCAAGTGTTCAACTGCTCAACACTTGTAAGTGTGCAACTGCAAGTTCAATACTTGCAAGTGTTCAGTTCAGTAGTAGCACACTTGCAAGTGTTTAACTCGGTATTTGTGCACTTGTAAGTGTGTAACCCCTCTGTTAAACACTTCCCTCACAGTAAGCGCCCGATCTAGATAAGTGTGCAACAGGAGAGTTGAACACTTACAAGTGCACGAATACCGAGTTTAACACTTGCAAGTGTACTACTACTGAATTGAACACTTGCAAGTCGCTCGCCCCTAATGCAAAGCACGCACGAAGCTCAGCCGCTGGCGAAAGCACGCACGACGGAGCGCCGCTGGCGAAACCACGCACGACGGAGCGCTGCTGGCGAAACCACGCAAGTGCATTTTTCGAAAAAATCGAGATATCTATATATTCTGAAAGAGCATGATTTCCTCTTTCCAACGGTATATGTCTCCAAAAATCACCAAAAAATGCACTTGCGTGGTTTCGCCAGTGGCTGTGCGTTGTGCGTGCTTTCGCCAGCGGCGCTGAGCTGTGCGTGCTTTCGCCAGCGGCGCTCCGCCGTGCGTGCTTTCGCCAGCGGCTGAGCGTCGTGCGTGCTTTGCACTAGGGACAAGCGAAGTATTAAACTTGTGGTTGCACACTTACAAGTGTGGAGCAGTTGAACACTTGGTTTATCAGTGTGAAAGATCGCTTTGAACGTGCCCTAATTTCGGACAGTAGTCACTTTTGCATGCAAAAGCCTATGTCCGAATTTAGGGCGCATTGGCAAAAACGCTTCCCAAAACTAAACCGTTATATGAAAAATCAAAAACTTGGTGTCATATTGGAGATAAAAGTACCAAGTTTTACACAAGTTGTGGTCAGAATAACCCGGGCTTACACTGCTCGGAGCCCCAAATTCTTGCAAGACACCTTTCAAAACGCCTGTTTGGGGGGGTCTAAAAATACAAACTTCCGGAATTTCTGGAGGAAGCAATACCACTCACACATTTTTTTATATTTTTTTCAGGAATGGAAACTTGGTGGTCTTACCTTTTCATCAAACCCATAGAAGTTAAATTTTGTCGACGTATCCTGGATTTGTCGGCGGCAATAGTGAAGTACCGGACAATGTCCGAAGTTAGGAACAATTACTGTGCGTGGCGAAGAACGACGCGCTGGCAAGGGGAAGGGGAGGGGGGGGGGGGGGGTAGAGGAAGGAGGTTGTATCGGTGGCAACCTGCAACCTGGCCTAGTCGCGCTGGCCGCGCTGCCGCTGGCTGCGCTGCGCACGGCGCACGGGCCAACCGATGACGTACAAGTACGTGTTTAAAAGCGAAATAAGTGCGTGGGAGGGGGGGGGGGCACCCGTTTTCGCGGTCTACGCGGTAGGAAAACATCATAAAAGCAGCAAAAATGTTATCTTCAAATGCCTATATCTCCGGAACCGTTTGAGCTACACCGTCCAGATTTTGCACAGAGGTAGTCAGCTTAGATAGCTTAATCGTCTCAAAATATGAGAAGAGTCGAAAAAACAAGCAGGCCCGCCCTTCCGCCAAACGAAGTTGCCAGCTTCGCTTCGCTGCGCCGGCAACTCCGTTCGGCAGGGGCCGGGCCTGCTTGGCCTGCCGGCGGCGATGGTCGGGCCTGCGGCCCGACCATTACTGTCACGCGATTTGCTGTAGAACATAATCAAATGATGTAGCGGGCCTTCGGCCCGCAAAGCCCGTCGCCCTTAAAATTTGCGCCGTAGACACGAGAAAGGGATGTAACGGTGAAACACCGCGACTACAACCCACCCTTCTGCTTAGAAAACGTTTTTTGGGGTGGGGGGAGGGACTTTCTTACCTCTTTTGCGGTTCTGGGCCTTCTTTTACATTTAATTGTTCACTACAGCAATTTTTAACTTATTTTCGTCAAACAAGACCCTCTAGCGCCTAAACGGTTAGAGATAGAGCCAAACGGACGTAATTTTCGCCCAAAGGGCTGTACTTTGACAAGTTACCCCTTTGGAGACCATCCAATAGTTTCAGAAATTAATAAATTTATTTTTGGGCCACTTTCGTGATAGAAACTCCCTCTAGCGCATAAACGGTGAGAGATAGAGCAAAACGGACAAAATTTTCGCCCGTAGGGCTCTACTTTGATGAGTTACCCCTTAGGAGCTCATAAAAAAATATTTTTTTTTCTGACTTTTTTGACCTACCCCCTTTTCTTTGATACCCCGTTTCAGCCCCTTAGGGTTGGTTGCCAGGATTTGCCGTAGGCGTTTCGTTTTCTAGGAGTGAACCTTAATATACCCTGAAAATTTGAAGTCTCTAGCACATCTCCTTCTAGTGGAACAGACAGACAGACAGACAGACACACAGACAGACACGAGGTCGTTTGCATAAGCCCGCTGGATAGCTTTTTCGAAGCAGAAGGGCGGGCTAAAAAATAGTTGAAATGGTCCGAAATCCAAGTCGAAATCCAAGTAAGGAAGGTGCACATAGTTTCTGCCATTTTCTTCGATGTTTTTCGAAAAAAATTATACTTCACGATACTTTAGTTACTAATTCGGCCTACCTATGTGCAATATCTAGGCGGTGTTGCTAAAACGGTTCCGGAGATACGGGCATTTGAAGAAGATGATCACTTTACGTCCAAGCAATTTTGTTCCAAGGTGGTAATTTTGATCCAAAATGATGCAAATTGGGCATATTTCTGATCCAAGCAATTTTGTTCCAAAGAGCAATTTACTTCCAAGATTTTGACGTGTTTTTGTTCCAAGCAATTTTGTTCCAAGGAGCAATTTTGTTCCAAGGAGCAATTTTGTTCCAAGCATTTTTGTTCCAAGCATTTTTGTTCCACGGCATTAATGTTATACGGCTTGAATCCCAACCGGAATAGGTGTTGCGACTACACGGCACCTCTCCCCGGGCCTGAGCCAGTTGAACGTCTCTGCGTGGCGCCATTTCGCACCACCCTGCCCAGCCTTGACTGGCAGAACTCGTAACGTTCGTCGGATTAGGTTATGCCAGGATACAAAATATTCTGAACTTTTTTGATCAAACTTTCTCCTCTTATCAGTCTGAGCCACATTTCATCTAACCTAACTTCAACCTGCGCATTGCGGACACAATGCTGTATACTTAACACACACAGGGAGTGCAACGGCGCTCGCTCGGCCCGCAATGGC